ACGAGACCGGTGCTGCAGTCTTATGGAACACTAGAGGCCCGATGCACGAAATTATACAAGGGGCTCGGCCCTCGCAGCACCAGCTTCGTCCCGAAGGTCATCCGGAAGGATGTCCGGACGGTCATCCGGCTGTTTGGTCTAATTAGCATATCAGCTCTTTATTAAAGAGGATAATCGTGTCCACATAATCACAGGTGCCCCATCATCTTTGTCGTACTTCATTGGTTACAAGCACTTGAAGGGGCAGGAATCAGGGTCTGTGTTCCTTAGATGTGTATTTGTATTGAGGTTACTATTTTTTTAAGAGCCCTTATATATTAGAGCTAAATATTAAAATATTTGCAATGAAAACACGATGTCTGAGTGAGATTTGCTTTGGAATAATCCAGGGGGCCGGGGAAGTGGGTTAAGATATAGTAATTGGCCAAGAGTTGAAAATTGTTGAATCTGGGAGGTTCACGGGACATCATATGAGGTTCTCTATTTCGGTGTGTGCTTGAAATTTTCATAATGAAATTTAAAAGATAGCATGCATATTAGTTATCTGTTGCTGCAAGATTAATTCGTGACTTAAAACAACAAACATTTATTTTCTCGGATCCTGTGGGTCAGGGATCTGACAGAGCTTAGCTGGGTGCCTCAGACACAGGGTCTCACAAGTCTGCCGTCCAGTTGTCAGCAGGACTGCGGGCGTCTGAGGCCTGATGAGCTGGGGATCTGCTTCCAAGCTCATTCATGTGGCTGTTGGTCAGGTGCCTCAGATCCTTGCTCACGATGGGCCGCTGGCTTCCCACAGAGGAGGAAAGAGAAAAAGGCACACACCGAAGTCGGCCAGTACAGAAGGTGGTCTTTTATAACTAATCTCAGAAGGGACATACCATTCCGAATATCCTATTGGTCACACAGACCAACCCTGGTGCAGTGTGGGAAGGGGCAGCACAGGGGAAGGGGGTCATTGAGAGCATTTTGGAGTCAGGCTACCGTGGTGTGTAAGGCAAAAGTTGGGTGTTGTCAAAAGTATCCTTGAAAGTCCTTTAACCCATTAAGCATAGTGGACAGTTACACTAGTGTTCCTCCGGTGCTGGAATGCAGCGCTGTTTTCTTGGTGCTGGATAAAAGTGGTTGTTCCAAAAGTAAAAGTTTCTTACCTTTATTTATTTTTTCTTTTTAAAATAGTTTTTGTTTTTTTCCCTTTTTGTTTCATAAATAAATATATTTAAACACTGTGATCACATTTGACCCTGCCTTGAGTATATTAAGTTAATTTCAAGTCAATGAAGTGCAGTATGAGGGTATTCTAATGCGCTGTGAAAGGGGAGAGCCGATCATACCTTGATGGCATCTGCCTTTGAGGTCCATTTTGCTGACTGCTTGTTTTAGCTCCACAGTCACCGAGCAGCTTTCTGATTATAATTTGGCTTCCCAAACAGAAATGCACATGGGGAGATAATGCTCTGCTCTAAAGCATCCTGTGGTTACATTTCTCAGTGTAAAATTAAGAATTGGTATTCTACAAAAAACAAAAACAAAATGCTAGCCAGTTTGGCTCAGTGGATAGGGCATTGCCCACAGACTGAAGTGTCCCGGGTTTGATTCAAGTCAAGGACATGTATCTTGGTTGCAGGACTTAGTCAGGGTGCGTGTGGGAGGCAACCAATCGATGTCTCTCTCTCACATCGATGTTTCTCTCTGTGTCTCTCCGCCTATCGCCCCCTCTCTCTAAAAATCAACGGGAAAATGTCCTCAGCTGAGGACTAACAACAACAAAAACAATTGCTATTCTAGCTCTACATATCAGTCTTTATGCGCTAGGTCAGTGGTCGGCAAACTCATTAGTCAACAGAGCCAAATATCAACAGGACGACGATTGAAATTTCTTTCGAGAGCCTAATTTTTTAAACTTAAACTCCTTGTAATGCCACATCTTCAAAATAGACTCACCCAGGCCGTGGTATTTTGTGGAAGAGCCACACTCAAGGGACTAAAGAGCCGCATGTGGTTCCCCAGCTGCAGTTTGCAGACCACTGCGCTAGGTTAATGTGAATTTGCATATAATGTGGCACGTTTACATTTTAGGCTTTTGAGCCTGCAGCCCTGAGTCCCCAGACTGTGATGAATGTGCCCAACTAATGCCATCAGAGTGGCCTGGAAGCCCTCCCACGGTGTGGCAGGACATATGCATGAGCTCCCCACCCTTCTCAGGTCCCCTGCTATCGGGGGGGGGGGGGGGGGGGTGTAACCAGTTTTGGTCGATAAGCTGTGAGTAGAATTGACACCTATCACTTCTGAACCAAAACCCGGTGCAATTTTCACACACTCTGTCCCACTGCTGCAGCGACCACGGAGGCCACATGTCGACATGCCAGAATGCACATCGGACTGGGCCCCCTGCAGGACCAGAATGGACAGAACCCCCACTGACCTGTGCCAATTAAGCAAATAACATGAGTGCAAATAAAAGATTATATTAAGCCACTGAGGTATTTCCTACATTGATGTAACCCACTCTAACTCAGTATACCAAGGGATGCCAACATTGCTGGGAGTGCATTTTTCAAACACTGGTAACATTACACCCGAGTGCTGGGATCCATCTCCAACGACCTCTCTTCACTTACCCCTGTGCCCACTCTCAGATTAGATAGGTAAGAGGCGGGCAGAAGCAGAAGAGGCCAGGAGAAACCTAGCAGGACTAGAGATATTGAAGTGCCCCCATCCTGCCCTGCTCATATCAGCACAGGATGCTAATCCTAGAGGCTCTATGCTCCTGTTAACTAAAGATGTCATTTCATTTCCTCTTTTCATCTGTTCGGTGTGCCTGTGCTTCCCCCACTCCCGCCCCAGCTTCCCTGGGGTCAGCCACCCAGTCAGTCTTCAGCAGGTGGACCGAGTAAACACTAAATATAACAGTTGCCCTAAGTCTGACTCAGCTCTCCATTGCTAAATGGGAAAATTTTAAATCGCTTATAAAACTAAATATAGGATTTGAAAATATAGGGTGAAAAATCAACTCAGAAGCTTCAAATAGCAACTTTCATGCAAAAACAAGAGTTTAGAATCATTTCAAGGACTTATTTCCCAAAAATAGCTAGTAAGAACTTAGCATACAGCCCAGCTGGTGCGGCTCAGTGATTGAGCGTCAGCCTATGAACCAGAAGGTCATGGTTCGATTCCCGGTCAGGACACGTGACCAGATTTCGGGCTTGATCCCCAGTAGAGGATGTGTAGGAGGCAACCAATCAATGATGGTCTGATGGTCTCATCATTGATGGTCTGATCTCTCTGTCTCCTTTCCTCTCTGAAATCAGTAAAAATATAATTTCAAAAAAGAACTTGGTATACATTTAAGAGTTAAAATCCAGACCCTTTCAATTATGCATTTATATAAAATTATGCAGAAAATTCAGTCCTGGGTTGGGCAGACCCTTTAGTGATTCTCTCCCTTGGTGTCAGAACCAACCGATGAGTTGTGGTGAGCTATGCAGTGTGTGCTGGGTCATTGGTTACTCAGTAAGCTAAAGTACTGAAGCTAGTGAATTATTCTCTTCATTGCAAATTAGGGGAAACACAAGCTTACTTCTGTAATAAATTCACTCTCACATGCCTTAGCAAAACAAATAAAAATAGAAAGCATGGTACCCTGACCTGATGACTCAGTTGGTTGAAGCATCATCCTGTACACCTGGGTCAGGGCATAGAACCTAGGTTGCTAGTTAGTCTCCCGGTTGGAGCACATACATACATGAGGCAACCGATTGATGTTCCTCTCTCACATCAATAGTTTTCTCTCTTTTTCCTTTCCTCTCTCTCTAAAATTAACAACAACATATCCAGTGTGGCTTATTTGGGTGAGCATCATCTCACGAACCTAGAAGTCGCTGGTTCAGTTCCTGATTAGGGCCCATGCCCAGGTTGTAGGTTCAGTCTCCAGTGGTGGTGAGGGGGATGGAACTGTGCAGGAGGCATCCTATCAATGTTACCCCCTCTCACCTCCATGTTTCTCCCTCTCCCTTCCTCTCTTTAAATTTCTTTTTTTTAAAACCATATTTAGAAAATGAAAATAAAAACCTATCTTATAATTAGGATTAACAAAAAGAAAAAAGAAAACATGGTAGCATTAAGGTGGGGGAGGGGGGAAGGACAGGAATTTCTAACTGATCAGCCAGCAGTTTTTGAGATGGCCGAGAACTGCCATCAGTGAGATCATCTTAATAACTTGAAAAAGTCCCCAACCCAAAGTCAATTATAGGCACTCAATATTACAGATTTAACTGAATTTAAAGTTATGTTAAAAACCCATTTTATTAAGGTAAGAGAAGAACCCATTTTAAGTTACCACTCTAAAGCTATATATAAGATAAAGATATTATATTACTTTTAGTGTTAAATTTTATTACCACACAAATACATATACATTTTTAAAATTTCTGGGGTTTCTAGTTATTTACTTATATGTTCTTTTTTTGGTTATTGAACGTGTGTGTTCCAATGAAGGAAATACTTCTTTATTACATACATTAACATTATTCCCAATCTTATTCTCCACAAATGAACTGTTTTCACCATCTTCATCACTCATCCTGCCCATCTAGATTCCTCTTCTCATAGACAGCATAATATTGCTAACATTTTATAATCTGTGATCTTCTTTCTTAGTACTGTATCATGAAATATTTTTCTGTATTTCCACATAGTTATTGGATCTTTTTAATGGCTGCAAAATATTCTATCACAATCACCTACATTTAAATGGTTTGATTTTAACCATTTGTTCCTCATTCTGTGATCAGTAGCCACAATCAAAGGTGACTACCTATTACGAGTTACTTATATTTCAAATACACTCACAGATAGAGCCCACGTTAACTCCCCATTAATATGTCTTCATTTTTCTAACATGAGGATTAAGTAGACTACTATGCAAGCTTGCTAACGCAGCCCCTTAATGTTTTTCTTCATGGACACGGTCACAGGGAGAGCAGCACCTGGGCACAGCGCCTCTAGGCTGTCAGCGTGCCCTCCAGGACAACCGCGGCGCCTCCCCGAATGTCAACCCGGCCGTCAGGGCGCAGGGAAATCGCCAGCTCTCCTCCTCGGGAGGAGCACTGAAAGGCTGGAGAGAACAAAACAAACCACAAGTTAAGGGGGTAATTTTCACCCTTTTTAATGAACAGCCAATAGTGAGACGCCTCTTCTTACAAGTTCTAGATTCTCCTAAATCAATTTAAAGATAAACTCTTTAAACATTCTTTAAGGATAAAACCTGTCCATGGTACTGCCCAGCCCAACCGGTTCTCCTGAGGAGTGGGGGGCCACAAATGCACTTTCATCCACGAAACACACAGCTCCAGCCCTTCTCTTCCTGCGTTAATTCCTCCAGCACCTCCTGCAACGTCCACCCCACCCCACTTCCTGCCTGGCTCTGTCTCAGGGTAAGCAAGGACATGTGAAAAGATAGATGCAGGTCTAGGAAGATAAAGATGTCTAGGAGGTCTTGGCCCTCCTGAGAAGGCCCGTCTTTCCAGGCCTGAATAAGACAAAGGGATCTCATTCATTCTTGTGGTTACCAAGCAACCACACGTGTCAGGCAGACAAGAGGCACCGCCTAAGCCTTCCTGGAGCTCAGTGCTTAGGGGAGTAACTGGTCTCACCTATGAGCAGCCACCTGCTCTCCCCAAATCAGGCTCACGGAGGCCTAACCCTGCCACTGAGTAAGACCTCTAGAGTTGGACTCCTAATTTGGTTATGTAGTCTCCATTGTCTGAGGTCCATTTTCCTCCCCTGAGAAAATATATATTAATCGCCAAGGGACTTGGTTCAAAAGCAATTTGTATGATTCAACCCTGTGGCTAGTAATAGTAGTAAGGAACCTTACTGATTATCCAGTCTCCATCTGCACATCATAGATAACTTCTCTGGGCCAGAGCTACACAGCTAGTTAATTTTACTCAACAAACGTTTATTGGGCACTTACTGTATGAGAAGTGTGTCTATGTGTTGGAGAAACGGGTAGAATGTGTTTGGGGTACAGGATATTTAGAGTAGAGAGGTTAGGGTGAAGGAATTTAAAAACCTTTCATTTTCACGTTGGTGATACAAAACATGTCTTCAAGTACATTTTAGATTTGAGAAGGAATATTCGTTTAAGATTAGGTTGGTTTTTTTTTTTTTTTTTCTTAATTGAAAAAGAGCTGTCTTACCACGCATCTCTTTCTTCCCCAGTTCTTGGGACCAGTAGCTGCTGAGAACAGTGTGGGCAGACCCTTAAAAGAAATGGGAAGTTATGATACAGCATAAGGGAAACAGGGGCGACTTTGGGGTGAATTTATAAGCAGTTGCAATCAACTAGTTGGTCATCATTTGGCATGGCCACAGCGGAGTGTGGCATTATAAATGGAGCTGGAGAGGAAGACACAGGATGTGTGGATAAGCTCCTTCAAATGATACATTTGCAATATTTTACACTTTCTGAAAGCTGAATTAAACTGCCGGTTTTCATTCTTGTCCTGTCTACAGGTCACGGTCAGCCCATGGTAGGAAAATCCAGTCCCTCTCTTAAATCTACCTCCTTCAAGAGAGACCATCCGCTTGCTCCTGGGATGCACATGCAAGGAAAGGTGGAACTCTGACAAAATCCAAAATCTCCATCAAGCACACATTCCCAGATTTTGGTGGCCAAAGATCTGTCCTTCAGTGAGGTATTTTTTAAGATAATTGTGCCCAAGGTTCAGATCAGAGAGTAGATAGTGAAATGAAGGAATGAACTGTAAAGTAATAACTGGCAGAAAAGTCTGTGGAGCAGAAAAGGCTGGGATGGAAAGGGCCCCTCCTTCAGGAAAACTTACTAAATGTTATGGGAGGTCCACATGGCATGACAAACTCTCCCAATTCCCTGAGACTGTCCTGGTTTTAGCACCGAAGGCCCTGTATGCTGAAAAATCCCTCAGTTTTAAGCAAACTGAGATAGTTGGTCAACACTGTGCAAGACCTTTCCGCTGTAGAAAAGCATCGTTTCAGGGAAAAACTTGCCCTCTGTGCCAACTAAAATCTTTGTAAAGCAGCTGTGCAGATCCGCTCAGAACTTCTATTCCATGGGGAAAGGGTTGAGTTGGCCTGTTTGGATGTCATTTGGGCATTTTCCTGACATCCAAAAAGTGCTTGCTTACTGAGCTTTGAATTTCACATGTTTTGTTCCTCAGAGAATAACTAAGTCATCCTAGCCCCTGCCATCTGACCAGACAGTCTGCCCAGCCTCCTTCTGCCCTGGCCACCATCCCATGTGCCAGCCTCCTCATTGCCGTCTTTTGCTGCTCAGCCCACTCTTTGCACTGTGGTAAGTACTTAACTGGCATTGGATTAGCATAACCCTATGGCAGTGGTCGGCAAACTCATTAGTCAACAGAGCCAAGTATCAGCAGTACAATGATTGAAATTTCTTTTGAGAGCCACATTTTTTAAACTTAAACTTCTTCTAACGCCACTTCTTCAAAATAGACTCGCCCAGGCCATGGTATTTTGTAGAAGAGCCACACTTGGAGCCAAAGAATCGCTTGCCAACCTCAGCCCTATGAAATATTCTCTGTATTTTATAGTGGAGGGAATGGAAACTTTTAAAAGTTAAGCCCTGGCAGGTGTGGCTCAGTTGGTTGGGCATTGTCTCATGAACGGAAAGGTTGCTGGTTCAATTCCTGGTCAGGACACATGCTCGGGTTGCAGGCTCAATTGCCGTGTGGGGTGTGTAGGAGGCAGCTGATCAATGTTTCATTATCACGCTGCTGTTTCTTTCTCTCTCTTTCCCTCTCCCTTCCACCCTCTCTAAAAATCAATCAAAAATCTTTTTTAAAAAACAAGTTAAGCCATTTGCCCAAGGTCAACAGCTAGAAAGCTAGGAAGCAAACCAAGGCTGTCTGACACTAAGGTTTGACTCTGCTATACTGCTTCCTTTTTATGGAGGAGAGGGGAGTGGTGAGAATATTTTCCCATTGATTTTTAGAGGGTGGAAAAGAGGGAGGGGGAAGGAGGGAACATCAATATGAGAGAGACACATCAATTGGTTGCCTCCTGCACCTTCCCCAACCAGAGCCAGGGACCGAACCTGCAACCCAGGTACGTGCCCTTGACTGGAAATGAAACCCAAGACCTTTAGGTGTGCAGGCTGACACTCTAGCCATTGAGCAACACTGGCCAGGGCTATATTACTTCCTTAATTCTGCGGTTTTTTGTTTTGTTTTCTGTTTGTTTGTTTGTTTGTTTGTTTGTTTTAAATAAATCTTTATTGTTCATATTATTGCAAATGTTCCTCTTTCCCCCCGCCCCCCTCCATTGCTCTCCTCCACCAGGTTCCCACTCCACCCTCTGCCCTTTACCCACACCCCATTGTCCTCATCCATAGGTGCACAGTTTATGTTCAGTCTCTTCCCACATCCCTCTCTCCCCTTTTCCCCAAGAATCGTCAGTTCACTCCCCTTCCATACCTCTGATTCTATTATATTCAACAGTTAATATTGTTCATCAGATTTTTTAAAAAAAATTTTTTGGTTTTTAGATTCACTTGTTGATAGTTACATATTTGTTGTTCATAATTTTTATCTTTATTTACTTTCTCTTCTGAAAGAACCCCCTTCAGCAATTCATATAATTCTGGTTTGGTGGGGATGAACTCCTTTAGTTTTTTTTTATTAGTGAAGCTCTTTATCTGGCCTTCGATTCTGAGTGATAGTTTTGCTGGGTAGATTATCTTTGGCTGTAGGTTCTTACTATTCATCACCTTGAATATTTCTTGCCATTCCCGTCTGGCCTGCATGGTTTCTGTTGAGAAATCAGCTGACAATCAAATAGGTGCTCCTTTATAGGTAACTATCTGCTTTGCTCTTGCTGCTTTTAATATTCTTTCTTTGTCTTTTGCTCTTGGAATTTTAACTATGATGTGTCTTGGTGTGGTCTTCTTTGGATTCCTTTTGTTTGGAGTTCTGTGCGCTTCCTGGACTTGTAAGTCTAATTCTTTCACCAGGTGGGAGAAGTTTTCTGTCACTATTTCTTTCAGTATGTTTTTGATATCTTGCTCTCTCTCATCTTCTGGGACCCCCATAATTCTGATGTTGGTTCACTTGAAGTTGTCCCAGAGGTTTCTTACATTATCTTCAATTTTCTGGATTCTTACCTTCTTGCTTCTGTGGAGGAGTGTCTTCTGGCTCTTTATGTTCCAAATCTTTGACTTGATTCTTGTGATCTTCCATTCTGTTTTTAGGACTCTGTATAATATTTTTTATTTCAGTCAATGTATTCTTTATTTCTTATTGATCCCTTATCATTTTTGTTGATTCCTTATTAATTCTAGTTGATCCCTTTTCATATCCTCATAGGTCTTATCGACCTTTTCTAGGAAATTCTTGAAAAACCTTATAAGCGTAGATTTGAACTCTATATCCAGTCGCTTTTTGTCCTCCATTTCTTTTGTTTGTGATCTATTTCCTTGTCTCGGCATTTTTGCAGCTTCCCTGATGACGTGGAGGGCGGGGGGGGGGGGGGTTCTGGGTGGAGCCTACAGCCTTGGCTTCCATCAGCCCCACCCTTCAGTACTCGTTGCAAGCACCTCTGAGAGAAAGGTGCCTTTGATTTTCGCCTGCTACCAAACAGTCTAGGCTTTCCCCCATGAGCCCAGGATTGGGGTTCAGTTCAGTTGGAAGTGGAGTTGGAGGAGGCGTTTAGAGCAGTCTGGAGCCCCAGTCTCCTTCCCGCCAGGGCAATCCCGCAGCACAGCCGGCCGTCCCTTCTCTGCACACAAATTGCATGCCTCCGGGACCTCCTTTCACCGCTCCCCTGGGATTCTGCCTCACAGCCCCGGCTCCCTCTGTTTTAGCCTGGGTTCCCGGGGTCTAGCCTAGAACTGGGATTCAGCGTTGTTGGGTCTGGGGTTCAGCACAGTGGGAGCTTTTATCTCCTTCCCACTAGGGAATGCCAGCCAGGCACTCAGCCTCCCCTCCTCTCCGGCTCTGTCCTCTCCGCACACACAGCGTGTCTCCGTACCTTAGGCTTTTCCAGCTCCTCCGCTCTTCCTTCTGATTTTCTCCTTGCTTCTCGTTGTAGAATTTCCAGTCAGTCGACTTTCCTATAGTTCTGGGTAATGTCCATTTTATATTTTAGTTGTATTTTATTGAAATTGTTGTGTGCGGCTGCGGTTAGGTGTTTACCTGTGCAGCCATCTTGGATTCTTCTAATTCTGCATTTTTATGTGTAGGGATGGGGTGGGGGGGTAGGAAAACAAAGACAGTTCAAAACCCACGCCATCTGAAAGGTCACCTGAAGGACAACACTTAAACAGCTCTTTGTTACCCACCCCCTTCAGTGTTTAACCCTCCCCAGGACCCACATCAGAAAGTACCTGTCACAGGGTCTTCTGAAACACCAACCCAGGGTGCGAAATATCTGGAGTAAAAGTCGAATGCTTGGGTCTGCCCACCAGGCTCTCCTTTGAGGGTGAGAATGAGTCCTCTCACCTTCCCTGTGTTCTCTATTTGCAGCAGGTCCTGTGTGCTCACTTTCAGGTTCTCCAGAAATGACCTGGTTCATAAATGGGATGGATTAGGACAAACCCCATTCCACATACACACACACACACCCCACCACATAGACTCCATAAAGCAGGCCAGGGTGTGGCTGACCCACATGCATCAGCAGGAGCAGGAGGGAGGAGCAAGTGGAATACCTTCCTACCTGAACACAAAGCTCTCTGGCTGCAGAAATCATGGTTTGCCTAGACGGAGCACAGCCAGACCAAGCCAGGACTGTACATGGGGGTGCTTGGCCCTCTCCAAAGAGGCGGCGAAGCCAGAAATCCCGCTCACCTGTCATAAGCGTCACTGAGCCGGACAAGGAGCTTCCGGGTGTCTGGGGAGTAGCGGATGTCCTGGATCATCGTGTCGCCTATGGCAGTCTGTGAAGACAGACCATAGACTTTTCAGGAAGTGCCCTGGGCCAAGTCCTTGTGGGAAATGACCTTTCTGAACATCGCCAGAGTGTCAGGCCCACCCGTGGTCCCCAATCCTCAAGTTTTAGTGAGGTTTCTGGGCGTAAGGTGTTGCCCAAGGAAAAGGTCAGTTTCCTGGTGATTAAAGAGGCCATTAAAGGAATTGAGCTTACCCTTTTCGAGCCAAAGAGACATTATTCCCGAGTGTTAGTATGTGTCTGAACACACAACTCCTTCAAATGGGTATTTTCCCCCCAGATCAGAAAAAAGACCTAGAGAGGTCCAGGGTCACACACACATAATTTTGTTCGTTTCCAACTAGAGGCCTGCCTTCCCCTGGCTGCCAACACTGGCTTCCCTCCCGCACCTGGGACCCGGGCTTCCCTTGCAAGCCAGCTTCGTCTGGAAGGACATCTGGTCTAATTAGCATATTATGCTTTTATTATCTATATACTGTATATAAAACCCTTATATGCAAATAGCTAATCAGTGTCCCTCTCTCTGGAAACAAATCCCAGCACCAGATCCCTCCGGCTCTCCAGGACCTTCCAGTCTCTAAAGGGTCATCCAGCCCTTCTCTGTATGGGTTCTATGTGATTGGAAAGTTTAATTCTCAGCTGGGAATCTTATTGCCAGTTTCTAGGAACACAAAATGACAACCCGGGATAAGATAAATAACCCTTCGTCATTCCCATTTTGCAAATGTTGACCCTGAGGCTTAGAGAGATCAGGTTAAGTTTTTGTTGTTGTTTTTTTGTTTGTTTGTTTGTTTTTTAACCATCAACAAGGTAGAAAGAACTCTTAATATTTTCCATTCCTGCCATCATGCTTTAAATAGTTCTCCCCACCCTGCCATCGAGGCTAATGTTGACCATGAAGAGTCAGGGAAAACTGGTCAATCTTCTCACCAGATAGATTCAGTATTACAATTCAGACCTCAGTGCACTGCTTGCTGTTCATCCCAGCTTAAATTGGAACACTGATACTGGTAGCAGGCCTGTCTTTGGGGATCAAATGGTACCAAATCTTTGTGTTCGAATACTAACAAGTGTTCAAATAACATGAGCTCAGGCTTGATTCTTGTCACTAACCTTTATCAAGTCCTTTACTTCATGGATGTCCTAGATGGGGAAAAAGACAAAACCATTATAAAACAGTCACTCTGTCTGCACGCAATTTACCAATTCAAAAGAGCTGACCTGGTAATGGGCTGGGTAAAGAGGCAAGTCCAGGACGATTCCATCCTCCACTTTTCTGGCCTTTAGTTCACCACTCAGTGTGACAAAGGTTAGAGTGCTATTCACATTTTCTGGAAAAAATAAAAAAATTTTTAAAAAGGGGGAAAAAGAGTCTTATTTTGTTGATCAAAACTGTTTGAAAAGGAATCATGAAATGGGAAAATAAACTTTTATATATATATCCAACAACAGAATGGTGGAATGACCAGAACAACTGGTAGGCCAGTCACTATGATGCACCCTGACCACCAGGGGCACACACTCAACACAGGAGCTGTCCCCTGGTGGTCAGTGCGCTTCCACAGTGGGAGTGCCGCTCGCTGACCGGGATGAGTGGCGCTCCCACAGTGGCCAGTTCTGCAGGCCTTACCCTCCACCGGTGCACGAATCCGTACACCGGGCCGCTAGTGTGCTTATAAGTCCGTTTCAGACACCATTGTGTTGTCTCAGATTCTCTAGCAGTGCTGCCCACATCTGGTTTGCTGGGTCTACAGTGGGGTCCCTCACTGGATTCTAATTTGAGAACCAGGAACATGATTGATTAGACTTGGCATCATACTTCAAGGCTTCACATCCCAGCTCCTTACGCTTCCTAGCTATACCCTTAAGCAAATTACTTAACCTGCTTAAACTTCAATTTCCACATCAACAAAGTGAGGTAATAGTTCAATCTATATCAATTTTAATTTACCAATAAATAGGGTAATAATTAAGCCTGACTCATAGAAATGCTATGTTTTCTATTAAATTAATATATTTATACAATTAGTTTAGACTTATAAGCTCTACTAACCAGTTTATAGATGACAAATAGAACATACAAGTTATGAACAACAATCTGATAGGAACAAACTAGGTTTTAAATAAACCAAGCTAGACATAACATTTTGATTTAAAGATTTGACTATAAATGCTGATATCATAGCCCTCCCTCCGTGTTTCTGATACAACTTGAGCCACATATCTGACTTCAATGTGCATAACGTTCTTGGTGAAAACAAAGATTTGGGACATAATTGTTTTTCCCGCCCTAATATTCCTGTAAAACCACTTTGCAGTTCAACTTCTTCCTCTGTTTAATCCTTTCTTTACTCCCCTATCAATATTGATCCCAAGACTGTCGCCCGCAGTTCCTCTAGCATGCAGATGCGTCCCGGAGTGTGTCCTGCACCCTGGTGGCAGCTGCCCTCTAATCCCTTCCCTTCCGGTCCCCATCTAAAGCAGTTCTCCGGAGAGCCTCCTTTCTAACTCCCGCTTCTTACAGTGGTCCTGCCATATCATCCTGTTTACTTCTGCATGTTGTCTAAACATGTTCATGGCTGCTTCCTACTCTGATTTAGGGCATTGCCAGGCATCTCTCTTACGCCCTGTTCCCACAAAGCCCTCACTTTACCTACTGTATATGCAGCTTAGATGGAAATTGGTAGGATTAAGGATTAGGTGCTGCACCCTACTATTCTCACAAGCAGTAGTTGTAAATAGTTGGGTGCATGGATCTTTAAAACTCAGAGCAGCCCTAGCCAGTCTGGCTCAGTAGATAGAGTGTCGGCCTGTGGATTGAGGGGTCCCAGGTTCAATTCTGGTCAAGGACACATGCCCAGGTTGCGGGCTCTATTCCCAGTAGGGGGCGTGCAGGAAGCAGCCAATCAAGGACTCTCTCTCACCATTGATGTTTCTCCCTCTCTCTCTTCCTCTCTGAAATCAATAAAAATATAAAATACATAAATAAATATAATTCAGAGTAAATAAGCTCTTGTTTCAGTGCGGGTGGGGATATATTGAGGGCAAAGTGTGCCTTTTGGGTCCCTGATATCACGTATGGCACCTGTTCTGCCTGTAAGCGCCCCTCCACAGAAACCGAAGACTCCAGGTTTACAGTAAACAGCATCCAGGGAGCAACGCCGTGGCTTTCCAACGTGTCTGGCACATCCTCAGAAAGGCCACCGTTATTGCAGGTTGCTTTTTTTTTATTCTGGATAATGTTTTACATGAAATAAACTCTGCAACGTCCCATTCCAGGGTTCATCACAAAGAGTATGAGAATTTAAAAAAAAAAAAAAAAAAAAAAGCTATTTGCTAAGTGGTCGGTTCATTTTTTAAATCACATTACTTATTTTGTGAAACAGCACAGCTGCAGAAGCCAGGGTAGCGTGACCACAGAGAGGGACCTCACTCGCCGGTGTGAACCACCTTAATCCGAAGCAGGAACCTTCGGGGAAAGATAAGCCAGAGAGAGACAAGATCAGTTCCGTACAAATGAGTCGCAAACTTTTCCTTTCCTTATTCTCTTCAGAACTTTTCGTCAGCGTGAATTAATTGTTGAAACATGTTGTGAGGAGTGAACTCTAAGCATACATCCCAGGGCTCCTCGGTGCTAGGTCAGGGGCTGAAATGTTCAAATCAACCAACCCCACCCCCCCAGATGAACTGAGAACCAAATCAAAATCTCCCCATCGCTCTCCTGTCTGCATGCAAATAGCGAATGGGCGTTGCTCTTAAATTATCACCCTCCCCCTGGAAAACCAGCTTCTACCATTCAAGAATGGTTTTTTAGAATGCTTATTTAGCCAAAACCGGTTTGGCTCAATGGATAGAATGTTGGCTTGGGGACTGAAAGGTCCCGGGTTCGATTCTGGTTGAAGGCATGTACCTTGGTTGTAGCACATCCCCAGTAGGGGCTGTGCAAGAGGCAGCTGATTGATGATTCTTCCTCATCGATGTTTCTAATTCTCTCTCCCTCTCTCTTCAGTTGATCGATGATTCTTCCTCATCGATGTTTCTAACTCTCTCTTCCTCTCTGAAAAATCAATAAAATATATTTTTTTTAAAAAAAAATATATATATATTTTTAAAAAGAATGCTTATTTAAGGTGACAGGAGACGATTGGACTTTGGGTGGTGGGCACATCATGAAATATACAGATCTGTGACATAGAAGCCCACACCTCAAGCCTGTATGTTCCTGTTGGCCAATGTCACCCCAATCAATTTAACAATATTTTAAAAGACAAGAGACAAAAAGCTTACTGACTCTGTGTGAAGCTGTCAGTTGGGTGCAGTTTTCGGATAAAGGCGGTTTCTGAGAGGTTCATTTCCCTGGCAATTTTTTGATGCATGTCTTCATCCAGTTTCTAAGTTAGAAACAAGAGGTTATTGAGACTCCAGAAACGCAAATCAGACTTCCTTGGTTCAGTCCTTGGACAGCGACTGCTATCAGTTAATAACATCGTTTATTAATGTTAAAACTCACATGCTTAACAGGAAATAATTGCCAAGGAACTCAGACACGTCGATAAAGACTGGCACCTTATGAAGAAGGGCTGTAGGTGTATGCGAAGCTGGAACAGACTCTGCAAAACCTACTGGCCTGGCCTGCCCTTTGTGAGATTATGACGCTGTCTATCTGAGAGCATGTGCTCTCTTCTACTACAATCTCCGCCAACGGGAACTTCCCAGACTCCCTTTCTTGTCGGGTAAAAAAAAAAGCGGCACACACCTTGGACAGGCTGGGTCTCTCTGCCCCATTTACGCACGTTCACTCCCTTTCACGGGCCTGGCTTCAGGGTGAGGTCACTTCCTGCAGGGTGCCTTCCCCACTGCTCTGTCCAAAAGCACTGCCTCCTTCCAGTGCACTCCCTAGTGCAGTGGTTGGCAAACTGCGGCTCGTGAGCCACATGTGGCTCTTTGGCCCCTTGAGTGTGGCTCTTCCACAAAATACCACACGCGGGCATACATACAATGCGATTAAAACTTCGTGGCCCGTGCGCAGAAGTTGATTTTCAGTTCTCAAAAGAAATCTCCATCGTCGTACTGTTGATATTTGGCTCTGTTGACTAATGAGTTTGCTGACCACTGCCTAGTGTGTCCTTTACTGTGGGTCCCCCCACCTCTGACCGGGAGCTCTGAGAGGTCACAGACGGTGCTAGCTTGCTGAGACCTGGCTTAGAACAGTGCTTTGTATTCATCCCAGGATGAGAGGGGCTCAATAAACATTTGCTGAAAGGACAGTTACGTTATTCACTTAATATTCACTTTTAAAACCCTCAATACAGATATTTTACCCACTTACAGATTGAGAAATTAAACATAGGGGTTGTAGGATATCCTAAGATCATGATATGTTAATAAATGGTAAATGATTATGAATGTGGGCTTTGCAATGAATCTATATGATTGTTCATTGTACCATTCTTGAAACTTTTTGGTAGGTTTTTAATTTTTCAAAATAGAATGTTAAAAATAGCCCTAGCCGGTTTGGCTCAGTGGATAGAGTGTTAGTCTGTGGACTGAGGGTCCTGGGTTCAGTTCTGGTCCACAGCATGTACCTCAGTTGCAGACTCCTCCCCAGCCCGGGGCCTGGTCAGGGCAAGTGCAGGAGGCAACCGATCCATGTGTTTCTCTCACATCAATATTTCTCTGCCTTTTCCTCTCTCTTCTCCTCTCTCTAAAAAGCAATGGGATGCCGAAACTGATTTGGCTCAGTGGTAGAGCGTCGGTCTGCGGACTGAAAGGTCCCGGGTTCGATTCCGGTCAAGGGCATGTACCTGGGTTGCGGGCACATCCCCGGTAGGGGGTGTGCAAGAGGCAACTGGTCGATGTTTCTCTCTCATCGACGTTTCTAACTCTCTATCTTTCTCCCTTCCTCTCTGTAAAAAATCAATAAAATATATTTTTAAAAAAATAATAAATAAATAAATAAAAAAGCAATGGGAAAATATCACTAGATGAAGATTAAAAGAATAAATAAAATAAAATATAAATAATGTGGGCTTTGGAAACAGACAGAATTGGATTTATATCTGGATCAGCCCTCATAGCAGTGCAAAGTCATTTGCTCTCATAGGGCCTCAGTTTTCTCACCTTTAAAATGGGAGTAATAGTTCTTTAGTGAAGTTTCATGCATACACATAGGTATTTGCAAACACACACATTCCTCTTAAGAAAAAAATGGGTCAGAAATATGAGTTTTCCGGCAATGGTAAAATATGTACACAGATAATTTAATTAAAAGATTAAATTTTTTAAAAAGAAGAAAAAAAAGAAATGAGTTTTCCTTTTGAAAATAAAAATAAAATTTTAATCAACATAATGCTTACTAGCTATAGTTTGAATTCCAAAGACAAATGAATTTATGCTTTAACTAAACCCAGAAATAAGAATTATTACTTTATTCTAATAAGTTCATAAGTTTATAATTCACTTATCTGAGTTATGCAAGTTAAGCACACTTGGTTTTTTAGTTGTTTCAAATTCTTTCAAAATACTTTCCATACACTTATATAAGGCAAAAAACAGTAGTTATTGTGAAAAAATTAGTCATGGTTTTTAAATTATCAGCTGATATAAAAATCCTAGCAAGAGGTTTACTTAAAGGAGCACTCAAAAATCTATAGAAGCTCTATAGTCCTATAGAAAGAAAAATCAAAATCACTTAAGAAATTTGTAACGGTCCTCGCTGGTTTGGCTCAGTGTATAGAGAGTCACCCGTGGACTAAAGGCCCTTCTTTTGCTTCCATCACTTTTTCCTCGGCCTACGCAGCCGAGCCGGCTAACTTCTACTAGCTCAGTGATTTTCTAAATAAACTTATCATTGGGGGGGAGAGAATTGAATTCAAGCACTGGCCATGGCCTACAGAATGTTCTCTGTGGAAACTGGCTCACATGGCTGTGCATACAACACCTGAGAGAAACGAAGCCATTTGGCTCCCTGGTGCAGAGCCTGCAGTCCCAGGCTCACAGTGAATGGCAGGTGACAAAGGAAAGCTGGTGCCCGTCTTCTGGGTGTGCCTCCTGGGCTGCAGGACCCGTGGTGCCTGCCTGCCTGTCCTTCCTCTCTCTGATCTGGTCAAACTCTCTCTATCCTTATATCTTCATTTCTTTATTGCTTCCTGAGACAAGACCCTCTGCAAGCATTAAAGCATCCCACATTGTAGCCAAGCTCACCATCTTTTGGCAATAAATTTCCTTGCAAATGGGCTGTTTTGCACATCAGCTAGAATACATGCTTTACTTTAATCCTCTCTACCATATGACACCAAATGCAATTTGAACTTCTGTAACAAATTTCTGTGCCAGGATACCTGTTATTTGCCTGAGGGACAGACATAATGTAGAAAATTTGGTAATAGCAGCCCTCAGTATGCACCATATACAGCTGAATTTCTGCAGTGGAACCAAAGATCAACATGATGGTGAATCCTGGTTCAACTTTGAGAACTTTAGAAACAAAAGAACTTTAGAAATTTTAGAAACACTCATTTAAAATATTGAATTTTTGGTCAAATAATTTTTCCATTTTACACTACAACCTTATTTTCAAATGCAGCACATAATAATTGCAAACCAATAACTTTTTTAAAAATACATTTTTATTGATTTTTTTACAGAGAGGAAGAGAGAGGGATAGAGAGTTAGAAACATCAATGAGAGAAAATCATCGATCAGCTGCCTCTTGCACACCCCCTACTGGGGATGTGCCCGCAACCAAGGTACATGCCCTTGACCAGAATTGAACCCGGGACTGAAAGTTGGCATAAACCAACAACTTTTAATTCTCTTGCTTTAATAGCCATTTCCCTTTGGCAATGTCACATGAGACACATTTCCAACATAACAACCATGATTTTTTTTTTATTATTTATTTTAGTTCCAGTGTACTGCATTGGGACACTGAGGTTCCATCATCATTAGGCCCACACAGAAGTTAATAATCAGAAAATGAGTAAAGTTTTAAAATACTCCCATCTTGTGGCAGTTCAGAAATATGACAGCCCGCATATAACTTGCTCTCAGTCTTTATTTTGTCCCTCTGCTGCAGATGGATTCCAGCAAAGAAAAAACTACAGTTGGATGTAGAAAGTTCTAAATCATCCAGGAAGAAATGAGAGATTCCTTCTGAGGCACTGGGACTTCTTATTGTGAAGTTATGTCCACACAATTTGGTACTCAAGCTGTAGGCCATCTTGGTAGTTCTATGGATCCCTCATCTCTCCAGCTCCAAATTGAACCCAAAGCTCATTCTCACTTCCCATACCCCCTATCCTGCCCCACCAAGGAGAAAGTAAGACCAATGACAGATAGTTAACCAGAACTCTTCAGAGAGTTTGCCATAATTTAATTGATTATATTTTTAATTTCACTGAACAGATATGTAGTGCCTTCCATGTGCTAGGCCGGGTGTCCTGAAACATGTCAGAATGGATCTAAGATCGTGATCAGGCTTACATTAGACTTTGAGCACCTCTGGTGCAGACAAACTTTGTACCTCCCAGCCCTAGCCCAGTGCCTGGCTCCTGGCAGATGTTGATAAATATTTGTAGAAAATGTCAGTGACATGCTAAACACCTGAACTGTGGTCAGCATTCTAAGGTTTAGCCCTGTTTGTCAGTGACATTTTCCTGAGTTCACTTGTGTTTCAGGTGGTCTCTGTCTCCAGCCCTGGATAAGGAATCCAAGGGCAGAAAACAGCTCACACTTTCTTTATAATTTGTATTGATTATGAATTGGGGAAAGTGTTAAATTAGCATTCAGGAGAACAGGATTCTCATGTCCATAAAATAGAAAAGCTAGCAAACTGGTCTTCAGATATCTGTCTTTTCAGTTGTCTTTGACAGGCCAACAAATTAGCCTCGTCTCACAGGTCCAAGGCCCAGAAGTGAATCGGGAGACAAAAGAATGTCCCGTCATGGACTTCCTCATCTTTTTCTTTCTTCCATTTGTACTGAAGCATTTTGCTTTGAATTATGTTGAGTTCTTTGTTAAAATTTTATTTCCTAGTTTTTCCAAATATATAAATAACTTGTAAAATATATCTTAATGGGGTGGTAGATAGAGAGATAGAGTTAGGTAGGTAGGTAGAGAGAGAGTTCCTTAAGCCTGTTGCTTAATGAGTACACTGGAGATTTAAAAAAAAAAAAATGAAGAAATGAGGAACCTTTGTAATAATATGAACAATAAAGATTGATTTAAAAAAAAAAAAAAGAGGAATAATCCTGATCCTTGTCATCTATTGAAAACTGAGTATATAAATCACTTAAAACTATTTTCAAAACTCTTCAAGGAAACATGGGACATGGGCAAATATACTGAGATTCTTGATAGGCAGCTTTAGTCAATTTCACAATTCCTCAAGGTGGAGTTGTATTTGAAGATTGTTTCTTTCGCTTTTTTTAAAATATATTTTTGTTGATTTCAAAGAGGAAGGGAGAGGGAGAGAGAGAGAAACATCAATGATGAGAATTATCAATCGGCTACCTCCTGCATGCCCCCCATTGGGGAGTGAGCCTGCAACAGGCATGTGCCCTGGCTGGCTGGGAACCAAACCACGACCTCCTGGTTCACAGGTCAGTACTCCACTGAGCCACACCAGCTCATTATTTCTAAAGAAATTTCTAAAGAAAGATGATTTCTAAAGAAAGTTCATCACTTAGAATCTGGTTGTTAATTATTCTCTTGCTAATCCTTGCAAACTATTGTGTTACTGGATAAAGCCTGTTAATTTCATTACTTTCAGCATTGTGTGGTTGGCCAGTGCCAACTGCAAGGTTGCATAATGAATGCATGTTAAAGTGAGTGGAGGACTCTTGATCTCTTGATCACCATTTTGCTGCTCCGCTTGGGAAAGAAAATAAGCACACCAAGGTCCCCACCTATCTCAGGGAAACCTGGGCCTCTCACCGCCTTGCCTGCACACTGCACAATGGACCCACTCACGGAGATGAACAAACAGGGCAGCCGGGGCCGCACCCCAGAGAGTCCGTTGTCACTGGTTTGGGATGAGGCCTGAGCTTAGACATGTTAAAGCTCCTCTGTGATTCTGACGTGCAGGCCAGTTGGGATTCACTGCACACCAATGCCCCAGCACGCATTTTGCCCAACTTAGTAACTTACTAAAGATCATGAATTGCTTACAGTGTTTCTGAAGTAATCCTCACATATACATACATACTCTGGCACTAACTGCTCTGCATGGAAGGGTATCTTGGCTTGCTTCCTAATGATAACCAGGGACCAGCACAAAGTACTTAAGGTCAGGGAACATTTAATTAACCTGTTAATGCTTATCCTAATCAGAAAGCCATTTTAAAAATGAGACTTTCCATAAACTAAGTTCTCCCTATATTAGAGCTTAATTCCTTCTATCTTTCTACTTAACTCCTTGCAAAACATCTTATTTCTTCATCCTTAGAAAAATCTCTAGGTAAGATCATGGACTATAGGTAAGATTAAAAATATGCAGTTTGGAGCTTTCATGCTAAATGTAATATCAGCCATGTCTAATCACATAAAACTCAACTAATTTTATTCTCCTCCACATCTGGTGCTAACTAAATGAAAACCTGAGGGCTAAAGGGAGTTCTAGTCCTTCCCTACAAGACTCCTCATTTCTCTAGAATTAAACATGTCAGTGTAAGCTTTCTCACCTCAATCAATTTGCAGACCTGAACGTTGGTGCTATCATTTGACACACAAACAACACAGAGGTAAACAGGTAGGCCTGATTTTTTTTAGGCACATTTAGTTCTCAGGGAATCCAGGCTTCCAAGCACTGTCTTTCCAAACGAATACTTACGATTTCTAGGAGACAAACAGCAGCAGGATTTCCACGAAATGCCTGTGCTGTGAATGCATCAGCTATGAAAATAGGGAGCTTCATTTTCCTTGCACGCCGTCTCTGCAGGCTCTCGCAATCGCTGGTAATCTTGTTGGGGGAAAAAAGTCAGAAAGTTAATGTTTCACTTGGTGTACAGAGGCAACTCCCACCTCCCAGATACAAAGTCAAGCAATTACTCCAACACCCCTACATTTAAAGATATGTGACCCCTAATTTTTTAAGCCTCTAAAATGAATATTTTTCTTTTCAAATTGTGTATTGATGTTTCATACTGTACATATGGTTAACAACATCATCATAGTCTTTCTTACAGGAGCCAAAACTAGCTTAGGCTATGTTTTTGATGAAGTGAACGAAACATCCAAGGGGCACATATGTGCATAAAGTCACCCAATGAATGTTACTACCCTTTTAACAGAATGTATTTTTTCTAATTATAAAAATATGCTCATTATAAAATAAAATTTAAAAAAAAAAGTTAGCAAATTAAAGTGACCCATAACCATATAACAACATTTCTTTTTACTTTTGGACTTAATATCAAAGAAGCCTAATGCTTTAATTAATTTTGTGTTATTTTATTAAATCTGCAGATGGAGGCTTTTGTGAGCTCATGATACAGATTAGTTAAAGCTTTTCATTAAAAGAATAATACTTCCTTTTTACTTCAAATCTGCCAAATACAGAAAAGCAGAGGGGAGGAGAAAAGAATCTCCTATACTCCACTGCCTAGAGAGAAACTCTACTAATATTCTGGGAGTTCACTTTGCTTTACTAGAAACATGGACTTTGTCATAGTAATGGAGGGACCCCTCCCTCCCAAAGTTACAGTACTTTTTGAAGATTCAGCAAATTAGACAGTGCTTTGCTTATACCTAAAAGAAAATGACCCACCTAACACGGATTTCTTGTTTTCCAGGAGAACAGAAACGGCCTGGGAAGCCCTGCTGGCTGCCCACACCAGGCCCTGGCCCCCTTGGCAGCTCCCAGACCCACAGGTATTTCTATTTCTGTATTTTTATTTTTTGAGAATATCCCATAGAGTTTATTTCAAACTGACAACAAACTGAGCCCCTTTGTTAACTTTAATAAGTTTGTACCTTTTTTTAAAAAAATATATTTTTTATTGATTTTTTACAGAGAGGAAGAGAGAGGGATAGAGAGTTAGAAACATCACTGAGAGAGAATCAGCTGCCTCTTGCACACCCCCTACTGGGGATGTGCCCGCAACGAAGGTACATACCCTTGACTGGAATCGAACCCGGGACCTTTCAGTCCGCAGGCCGACACTCTATCCACTGAGCCAAACCAGTTTCAGCAAGTTTGTACCTTTTGACCCCAAGCAATAACATTACTAATATTTAAGACATTGCATTAAATCAGAATTTTTACCCTCTTAATAGTTCATAGCATAAATATTTTTCAAGTTATAATAGATTCCTAAGAGTGAAATCCTTGGGTGTGGAGGGTATATAGACATCTTAACTTACACAGTTAAATTTATCTTCAGAAAGACACTACTATTTTATTTGCATATGTATCCTTCTGTTTTTGTATGTATACTTACAAATGCGTGCTTACTATAAATATACAGTTCATATATAATAATCTGTATTATTCATATATAATAACTAGTTAATGCAAAAAAAGCAATAAATGAAAGAATAAAGGAACAATAAAGATGTAAGACATATAGAAACCAATAGCAAAATGACAAGCTTATACCCTACCTGATCAGTAATTACATTAAGTGTAACTCTCATTCCTCTTTATTACTCAGTATAAGTTAAATTCTAATTCCAGTTTTTACAACATATTCTATTACTGGATCCAGCCGGTACTGCAGGTCCTGAAGATCGGGCTAGGAGGCTCAGGAAAAGAAAGAAAAGAAAAGAGAAAAGGACAGGAACAGCGGGGCTTCGGGAGGGCTGGAATGCTCGATGGCACTGCAGCAAGTTTATTAAAGGCGCAAACTCTTTTATCCCCTGAAGCTGGGCATTCCTCCAAATGGCCTTCTCCCAGGGCATGATGGCTACGTGCCAGTTCCTTAAGACCTACGCAGGGAGATATCTGCCTGGGAAAGCTCATCCAGCTGTACTCTGCTATGTTAATTCAAGGACATATTTGCAGATTCCAATTTTGCACGCACAGCAGAACGAAGGACAGTGTTGCTTGCCACATCCCCAAGTGACCCGACTCCTGGGGGAGAGCAGGCAGGGCTACCTACCCTTGCTCCATCCCCCGATTCTCAGGTCGGCAGGGGACTCGGCTCCCAACATTCTATAGCAAGTTTGCTTCCAGAAATGTAAAAGCAAAATATATGTTGATGAATACCAGATCTATGTTAATTAGCACATATTAATTTCCTCCTAGACATATCCACTTGGATTGTATAATACATGGAATCTCTAAATCAACATATCCAACATTCCTGTATTTCCTATGTCAGTTGCTGTCCCTACCATCCAACCCTAACCCAAAAATAATTCACCTTTGACTTTTTTTAACTCATCCACCCATAACCCCTCTAATCAACCACTAAATCCTGCTGAAAATAGCTCCTAAATATTTCTCAAAGACATCCTCTTATATGTATCCCTAATACTATTGTTCTAGTTTAAGTGCTCATCACCTCTGCTGGGCCTCCTCTTAGTCTTCTCTTCTCTCCCTCTCAATATCTATGCTCCCCACTCAAAATTACCTAATTTGAGGTTGATTATCAACCTACAAACAAAAGCCAGGGATCAGCTGAAACCGGTTTGGCTCAGTGGATAGAGCGTCGGCCTGTGGACTGAAGGGTCCCTGGTTCGATTCCGGTCAAGGGCACGTACCTTTGTTGCAGGCACATTCCCAGTGGGGAGCGTGCAAGAGGCAGCTGATCGATGTTTCTCTCTCATCGATGTTTCTAACTCTCTATCTCTCTCCCTTCCTCTCTGTAAAAAATCAATAAAATATATTAAAAAAAAAAAAAAAAAAGCCAGAGATCTTGCTCCCTGACATATATCATCGGTTTGATTTAAATAAACTCATAAAAATTCTCTATAGATTTGAATTTTTCTTACATCAACATTAAGTTGGTGTAGTTGACAGGATTCCGAAGCCCACCCAGGACCACACTGCAGAGCTGGATCCAGTGCCAGGTACAAGTAAGGGCTTGCTTAATAGGAATGAACCGCTTTTATTAATAATGGTGTGACAAACATACATGAAACAGGATGGGACTGGAATTTTTTTTATTTCAACTACTAATCACTACCCTGTATAACAACCTAACAACCCATTTTAGAGGCTCAGCTCGGCTGGTATAGCTCAGTGGTTGAGCATCAGCCAAGAGGTCAGTTTGATTCTCAAAGCACATGCCCAGGTTGCAGGCTCCATTCTCAACAGGGGGCGTGCAGGAAGCAGCAGATCGATGAGGTCTCTCATTGGTATTTCTATCCCTCTCCCATTCTCTCTCTCTAAAAATCAATAAATAAATTTTTAAAAAGAAACAGATTCCAAAAATTTAACTGCCTCAGAACCAAACAACTGGTAGGTAAGTGTCAAAACTGGGGTTGGAGCCTAGGCCTGTTTGACTCTTTGATTATGAAGACAGTTTTAAATTTTGCCATTGATTTTCTTTTTTTCTTTTTGTAAATATATTTTTTATTGATTTTTTACAGAGAGGAAGGGAGAGAGATAGTTAGAAACATCGATGAGAGAGAAACATCGATCAGCTGCCTCCTGCATACCCCCTAACGGGGATGTGCCTGCAACCAAGGTACATGCTTTTAAACAGAATCAAACCTAGAACCTTTCAGTCCGCAGGCCACTGAGCCAAACTGTTTTGGCTGCCATTAATTTTCTGGGTAATCTTTGGAGCTTTATCTCCTGATTTTTCTATTTCTTGTTCCATAATAACTGGACTAGATGGTGGTGAAAATGAATTACTTAAAGTGCATTCACCTCAACATAACAATCATTGGCATAGGTATATATATAATGAAAGCTATATTCTTATCTACCAGTCAAAGGCATAGGTATATATATATATAATGAAACCTGTATTTTTATCTACTTGTCAGAAGCTTAAAATCATGTGAGTGGGAGGGCAGGAAATGGTGTGCTATTCTTTTATCTGTGCTGCTTTCTAAGTTATTATTGTGCTTATGATACAATAAAAGCAATACAACAATTTGATTTCAAATCCTTAAGTAGCTATAATTTGTAACTGTTTTCCTATTCTAAACATCAGTCCACTGGCACAAATGGAATGTTCAATAATTTTTTAAAAAAATATATTTTATTGATCTTTTTACAGAGAGGAAGGGAGAGAGCTAGAAACATTGATGAGAGAGAAACATCGACCAGCTGCCTCTTGCACACCCCCTACCGGGGATGTGCCTGCAACCAAGGTACATGCCCTTGACCAGAATCGAACCCAGGACCTTTCAGTCCACAGGCCGATGCTCTACCACTGAGCCAAACCGGTTTCGGCAGAATGTTCAATAATTTTAATTATTTTCAAAAATTAGTGTGTTAGGTACTTTTGTTCTTTTAAATTTCCATTGCTCACTTAGTGCATAATTATTAAAATTGGGTGAGACCTTTGAATTTTCCTATTCCCAGATGAACACTTATATGACTTAAAGAAACAAAAAAGTATTAAGAATGTTAACAGTTAATTAAGCCTTGTCCTGAGAAGTAATTTGGAATCATGATAAGGAAGATCACTTCTTTCTAAAGATGGAGGTATTTATAATATAAATCCAAGAATAAGCATTTCACAAAACATTAGTAAGACAGATTTAGTGTTCAAAAGGCATTAACTGCCTTAATTAGTCACACTTCTAAACACTTAGTTTTGCTGTTTAACATATGCTTTTCATATAGGCAAAAAGATTATGATGATCACTTTTATATCAATTTAGAATGTCATTGGAGAAATATGTGAACAACTATCTTAACCAATTTCCAATTTTTAGTTAATATGCCTTCCTCCCCAGAAGTGCAGTCTCTGGGTTTCTGTATCTTTCTCTTTCTCTTGGGCTCTGCATGGAATT